AAAAACTGTCTCAGTTTGGCTGGAAACAGCCCCAAAGTGTTGCAAAACACATTCCCCGTGTTCAAGCAGTGTGTTTTTCCCAAAAATAAGTGTTTTGAAGGCCAGCAAGGTGGGGTTTTTCCATCCCAAGCGGTGTGACTGCATTTTTATGGCTGGAGATGCTTTTCCAAGACATGCAGTGCCTGTTGAGTGGGATGATGGGTGTTGGCCACCGACCCTCCATGGCTGTATCCCGACAGGTCACGGATGCGGCGGGAGATGCTGGTGGAGGGCGCACCGGACAACGACACAGATCCAGAGCAGAGCAGTGGGACACCCATCCCCGTGCGCCGGGCCCCCCATAGCCCCGATTCGGACACGGAGGACCGTAAACCTGTGTTTGGGGGGGGCGAGCACCCCTGTGCCGCTGTGAAGGTGAAGGAGGAGCAGGGGGAGGCAGGTGGCTGGGGCCGCCGGCGGGACTCACACAGCCCAGCCGGGGCGGCCGAGGGCACTGGACCCCCGCAGGAGGATCGGGGGGCAGCCCCCCAAGCTGCTGCCCCCAGTGCTGGCAGCCTCCCGCGGCGGGGGGGCCGTGCCGGTGCCGCCACCACAGGCCCCCCACCGCCGCCACCGCCGCATCCCGACAGCTCCCAGTCCTCATCGGGGTCATCCCGTTGCAGCTTGGAGGTCTCCCCAACATCGCCCTCGGCAGCATCCTCGCCCGGCCTCGCCGGCTCAGCCTCACCGGGGCCATCGTCCGCTGGACCGGTGTCACCGGCGCTGCCGCCGGCGCCCGGCCCCCGGCTCAGCACCAGCGTCCAGCGGCGCCATGAGAAGATGGCCAACCTCAACAACATCATCCACCGCCTGGAGCGGGCTGCCAACCGCGAGGAGGCCCTCGAGTGGGAGTTCTGAGCCCTCCCACACCCTGGAGATATAGAGACACCCACATATATATACATATATTTTGTTAAATGCAGCACGCACCGAGAGGCGACAGGCAGCCGGCGCCATGGAGCAGCCATGGAAAAGGGGGTGGCCCCCATGACGAAGCCACATCTCCCCCAGCTTTGTTTTAAATGTGAAAAACTGGGAACGGTTTTAGAAAAGCAAAAAGCAAAAAAAAAAAAAAAAAGGAAAACAAAAAATATTTATAGACCTCTTTTAGATATTTTAATAAAAGGATACTTTGGAATTTATTAACAGCTTAAGCTGCTTTGATATTAAAGATAGCTATAAAATGAAGATGATGTAGCAGTCGTGTCATTAAATGTACACTGAAGTCTTGTAGTTTGCCACTGGATGAGATTAAAAACAAAGGAAAATCCCCCAGGAAAAGACTGAGCAAAGCCATCGAGAAGCACTATGAGACTGACCAAATGGACTGAACGTTTGCTGAGCAGTTTCCACCTCTGTCTGTAAGACACCGCATCGCTTCTGCCCCAGCCAGAGACTGCGACATAGTCCCTGAAGACTCTAAAGCGACCCCCCTGATGCCATCGAGTATGTATTTAGTTCTGGTGGTTTATGTTCTTGGAAACCTTTGTAACACAGAATGTCCCGTGCGGTTGTATATGTTGTAGAGATGTCTGCACTAGCCTCCTGGAACAAGATGTAGCATGGTCCCAACGCTGTCCCTCGTGCTTCCTCCAGCCGGTAAGCAGTGGCAGCCCCGATAAGGCACGGTGCAGCTCCTGCCAGCTCCCAAAGGAAGAGGAAAACCAATGCAAAAGCAATGAGAGCAACCTGTGCTTGTGATTTTGGGAGCGAGACGGGAAGAGGTACCTGGGTGTGATGCTCAGGGGTGGCTCCAGCTCGCTGGGAATGGGTATCCATTGGATCCCAGTTCCCCATGCTCTGCCATCGTCTGTTTGGGAAAGAAGAGATGGAGCCTTTGAGCTTTGCCCTTGGGGCACCAGTGCTTGGGGATGAGCACGCAAAACTGAGCTGCCTGCTCACAGGGGGTCGAACCCTGCTCGGGGCTGCTCCCAGCATCACAGCCAGCTCTGGTGGCTGAAGCACTTTTACTTAGGGAGAGCACCCGAGCAGGAGGAGCATCCCCTCACTGCAGCCGTATTCCCAGGCAGTGGCTGCCCATGAAGCCAGGATGAGGCCCGGATTGTCACACCAGGCTCCTGCCTGAATTGAGCAAGCTCAGACCTGAATTGAGCAAAGCACCATTGAGCTTTGGCTTTCCAGGGCTGACCCCGTGCCACCTCCCAACCCCACCACCACCAGCTGGGCTCTGCTATCAAAATGCCTTTAAACACCATGGGGTGGCCCATGCTGGGCTGCTCTTCCCTGTCCCCTGCCCGCATGGCATCAGCCATCACCCAGCGTGGCCACCGCCATCGGGAGGGCTCCCTGCAGGCTCTGAGGCTATGCATTGACTGATTTATACGTTTTTATCAGAAGAGAAGGTATTTTTATACATGGGTGGTGGTCGGTGAGAGATGCTAAAAGTGGAGGCACGGCTCTCCTTGCCCACCTACCCTGCCCCAGAGAGCCCCAGCTTGCCCATGGCCACTCTTTTCCCTGCCACCACTCTGCAGAAGGTCAAGATATGATCATTGCTCTTCTCTGTTGTGTGCTAGCGGGAGCTTTAGTGGAATGGGATTCAAGGAAGCACTTAGGATGGTCTCGGACGCGGCAATCCTGTTGTATTAAAGCTGGCGGGACATACCGGTCACGTTTTTGTTAGGCTCATGTACTGTACTTCTAAAGTTTCTATGAGATCGATGAACTTTGTTTAACAATTTTGGAAGGAGCAAGTTCTGTAAAGAGCCACTAAATACAGAAGTTGGATACGACCCTGCCCTTGGAGTGTGTTTTGTCTGGAGGCAGATGGGATGGGAGCTTGGTGCCTGGGTTGATGCTGGAAATCACAGCCTTGCTTTGGGTTTGTGGCAAGAGCTCTCACCACCATAAACATCTCCTGGTGGTGTGAAATGGCTCAAGGTGAGATCATAGAATAGTATGGGTTGGACATTCAAAGGTCACCTAGTTCAACCCCCTGCAACGGGCAGGGATCCTGCCCTGTGAAAGTCCTGTGTTCATCCCCAGTGCGGGTTTGCTCCTGCCCCTTGGGTACCTTAGCATCCTTTGGCATTAGGTTTGGCTCAATGGCATGGCACCCTGGCACAGCTCTTCTTCAGAGCCGCCCATCACCGGGCATGTTTGCAGCTCCTGACACGAGGCAGGGGTGTTTGCATTTGATGGATTAATAAATCCATATGTCGCATATCTGTTCAAGCTTGTTTGTCAGCTAACATGTTGGGATGGATTTGTTTCTAATAAATATCTGAACGTCTGGAAAAGCCGGGACAGCTGCCATGGAAACCAGAACCTTCCTCCACAGCCGACTGATGGGGCCACGTTAACCTTCTGGATGCTGTGGGTACGGCTGCACCCCACTGCCCTCGGCAGCACCACTCCAAATGCCAAAACACCAAGTGGGGCGGCCAGGAGCAAGGCTCAGGGTTCTACAGTGCTCTCAGCAAGCAAGTGACCTGCCTGGCTTCGTGCCTCAGTTTCTCCAAGAGACATGGACCTCAATGATGTTGGCAAGAAGCTGGAGATGTTCATGGAGGTGCTGCAGGCAGGGACATGGGGTCATGTTGGCCACTTCCACTTGGCACCAACACTGTCACCAGCAAGGGGACAGGTAATTTGTCCCTGGCTAAGAGCCCTTGTCAGATGGCTTGGGATGTCCCACCAAGTGCACAGGGCAACCTGAATAGGAGCACCCAAACCTGAGTGGCGTCACACAGTGCTGCCTGTAACCCTAGTTTTGATGGGATAGTTGTAACACCCTGTTGAACCTGTAATGAACCAGCAACTCATACTGGGGCACCCAATACCACTTCCATGGGTGAAACTATAGGAGCATTGTGCTCCCAGTCATTTTCTAATGCCCAAACCCCCATGTTGATCACCTGTGCCTGGCTGTTCAAGCCATCACAGAGAAGCAGAACTGTGCTGTCCCTGCCATGGTACCACCCTGGCACTGGGTATCCTGATATCCCCAGTGTGGCACCATCCTAGCCCATCCATCTCATCCCATCCCTACAGGCATGTCAGGCTCCAGGGCACTGCAAGACCCTGGCGTTGGCTGTGTCCCACTTGGGTGACCCTGTCGCTGCCCAGCCCCATGGAAGGAAGGGGATTAAAGGCACAAACAAGAACCTGGCACAGGCAGGAATTTCTGAAACAACTTTTATTGTAGCAAAGTCTTGTGCTTGTCCCAGTGGGGCAAAGGGAGCCAGAGCCACCCAGCTCAAACCCAGGTCACCTCCAAGTCAGCAGCCTTAGTGTCAATCCAAACCGCTGGGAGCAGAAAAGAGCACCACTAGCACAAGACACTGGCTTCACTCCGGTTTGGCACATGAATCATTCGACACGCTCCGTGCTGACACACACGTTCCCATTACCACCATGAGTGATGCTTCCCCTTAGGAAGCCAGCGCAGCGGTGATGCCCTGCCCTGAAATACCCATCCAGCACAGGGGTGCCTGCAGCTGCAGCATTCCCTCGGGCCTGCCCTCACCAGGGGTTCACCCAAGGCTGCAAGCAGCGATTGCCTTGTGTGGAACACCCTGGGCCGGGTGTCACCAGCTCCCCGGGAAGCTGCTGCTGTTAAGGAAGGGCTGCGCTCAGTGATATTTTCATTTTCAGACCACATCCTGCTGAAGCAGAGGGATCCGGCCGAGCTCAGTGCAGGGAGGGGAAGGTGGTAGCAGGGTCCCTGGCTGTGGAATACCCACAAAGGGGCTCAGGCCAGTGAGATCCCATCCAAATCCTTCTCCAAAAGTATTGTCCGTGTATGATACCACTGCAAGAGCACCAGGAGGTCCCACCAGACTCAGTGCAGTGCTGGAATCCCAGCAGGCATCAGCCAGGAAGTGGTTTGTAGCCTGCTTGCTTGCTGGGCAAGGCTTGAGAGGCAGGAAGCATCTGCTGCCTTGGCACAAGATGCCCAAAAGCCTGTCAGTTCCCAAAGCCCAGGGGCTTCATGCCATCAGTGCTGGACTGGTGTTTCACCATCACAGAGCAGCACCGGTGTCCCTCACCGCTGAGCCCTTGGTGGCACCATCAGCAGTGTCCATCACCACCATAGACAGGGCTGCACATCCCAGAGTGATGATGAGACTGATGCAGCACCAACAATGATCATCTCCTTGTTACGGGTCCTGGTGGGTCCCCAGGGCTCAGCCATCACTCAGGGCTGGGGACCACGCTGCCTCTCCAGCCAGTCCCGCCGCAGCTGAGCCACCTCCCGGCCGTACCACTCATGGAGCCGGCAGAAGGAGGACGGGCTCTCCACCACTGCACTGCCCACCTCGGTGCTCGATGCCCGCCTGCGTGGTGGCAGCGGCGGTGGCAGCGGGTTCCCATCACCAGCAGCATCACCACAACCTGAAGCTTCGGGTGGCCGGTTCGCTCCCGATGCGTTGTTCCACACAGCACAGCCATTCTCCTTCGGCAAGACAGCGGGCAGAGCCGGCAGCCGCTCCAGGGACCGCTCCAGCTCCGAGGGCTTTGGCTTCCAGGAGCTGGGAGACCCCCGGCATCCCCCAGCACACCCACGGGCCATCCCATAGCTCATTTCCTCCAGCTGCTTCTCCAGCTCCCGCACCACCAGGCGCATGTAGTCAAAGCTGGCTCGTGAGAGCGACTTCACCCACGACTCCATGGCAGCCTGGCTCTCTGCCGCCAGCACGTAGGTGCGGGACTTGGTGCCACCAAAGCGGATGGCGAAGGTGAATTCCTCGGCCGAATCGCAGAGCTCCACGGTGCAGCCCTCCAGCACGATGACACCCACCGGCTCCCGGCTCTCCCGCTCCTCGAAGTAGAAGAGCATGTTGCCCTTCAGCACGAACCAGCGGCGGTGGTACGCTGTGTGCCGCTCGCCGCGCTTGTAGAGGAAGCCGGCGTTGTCAGCCGGGGAGTCACAGGTAGCATAGAAAGCCAGGCTCCGCTCGTTCAGCTTCATGGCTCCGTGTCCTGCAGGGATAGAGGATGGATGCTGAGGATGAGTGTGCTTTAATTGCACTGTAATAACCCATCGGCTTGTTCTTGGCAGCAGCAGCCTTTGTGCCCAGGAAATGGAGCTGGTGAATAAACAGCCCCGTGATAGCCGGGATAACTCCGCTTCCAGCTAAGGTGATGTGGCCGGTGGGTGGCTCAGGGCTCCGTGGAGAGGGGATTTAACCCCAACTGAGTGTTTTCCCATGGAGGAGCCCCAGGCAGGGCTCACAGTGCCCCACGTCACCCGATGCAGGTGACCTGACCGCCAGCACCGTGTTTGCCCCGTGCTGCTTCGCTCCTCCCTGCTTCACACAGGGAGGAATTATGACCTGCGCCGCAGATTCGGCTGCGGCTCCAGAGAGCCGTGGCCATGAGCCCGGTCGCCCGGGCAAGGCCACCCTCCCCTTGTCCCCTAACCAGCCGTGGCCTCGCTGTGCCAGGCTTTTTGCCTACCTTGATTCAGCTTCTAGCTCCGGTCTTCGGCATCCGCCAGCATCGCTGATGTGAGGGCGGCTGTGGGAGCGCTGGATCCGGGATCGGATGGTGTAAGGAGACTGTGGGGTCCGGCACCCTGGTGTTCCCGCTCCGGCTGATGGCTCCGGCGTGTTTCACCGTCCCCCAGCCTGCACAAAGCAGATGGGCACCAGGATTATTGTTTTCCCATTAAGCCACGTAGCAGGGATCGAGGAGATGAGACGGGGGCTCTCTGGGCTCCCAGCTCCGGGGTGCAGTGGGGACCCTTTCTCCCCGGTACCTTGAGGATCTTTTTGGGGTCCCCAAAGTCTTGAGGATGTTTGGGAGAGGAGGACCCGCCCCCCACCCCTCCGGCTGCGGCCCTCTCAGCCCCGCTCCGCCTCGGGGCACCCCCGGCTCCCGGCCCCGCTCCCGGTCCCGCTCCCGGCCCTGCACCCGGTCCCGCACGGCCACCTTTGTCCTCGGTTCCCCGCCACCTCGGCTCGGCTCGGGGCGGCCCCGCGGGCGGAGCGCTGCTTCCTCCCGCCTCCGCCGCAGCCGCCACCGCCCCTCACCGCGGCTCGGGGCGGCCCCACGGGACACAGAGGGGGGGCCCTTCTCCCGGAGGAGAAACCACTCCGGAGCTCGGCCCCGGTGCTGAGGGGTCCTGGCTCCGTGCCACAGCTCTGGGCAGCGCCTGAGGGAGGTGGGAGCATGGATGTGGGGATGCAGGGGGTATGCGGGTCCGTGGGTGTATGTGTGGATGTAGGCATGAATATAGACACAGATCTATGGATGGATGTAGGCATGGATGTACACGTGAGTGCACGTGTGGATGTAGGCTTAGAGTACGCATGGATGTACACGTGGATGTACTCATGGGTGGGAAGCCTGGAAGCTTAGTGCTGAAAGTGGCTGTAAAACACTGAATTTTTGAGTCAGGTTTTTAGGGCAGAGTCCCAGAAGTAGTGCCCAGAAGCATCCAGCAGGGAACAGGAAGAGGTTGATGGATGAGAGGGCTGAAGATGAAGGCAACAAGGCAGAGGTTGGTCCTGCATAGGTGGGAGATGCTGCAAGGGACCAGCTGCTCACCTGAGTTTTCAGCCATGTCTTTGGGAGAGGCTGGACCAAAGCAGACAGGGAGGGGGTCTCTGCCTTGGTGCAAACGGAAAGGAGGAGCTGGGTGGGCATCAGGGGGAAGTTGACAACTGGCCCAAGGAGCTAAGAAGCACCCAGTGAAAAGCTGGAACTGCCAAGCATCGCGCAGCCACGTGGGCAGAGATCACATCCCGCTTGCTCCTTCCTGACCGTGGATGATGCCACATGGCACTAGAGCTGCTGCTGTGCTTTTGGCCCCGTGGCCAGCGCTTGCCCTCTCTGGCAATGACTGGATGATGCTGACCACTGAGACTGGTACCCACATCCCAGGGCAATCATAAAACTTTCAGCTGGGAGTAGCCTTCAGGCTGACTTCTGCTCTTGGTTGTCCTTTCCTGCTGAAAGCATCACCAGCTTGAGGACCATCTCAGCAGCACCACTGTCCACACTGTATCCCAATAAACACAAGCAGCAAGGATTTGCTCTCCTTATCATTGTCCCTTTCCCCCGGTCTCTTTGTTGCCCTGCTTGGTTGCATGTATGTTTTAGCAAACAAGGTTTTGATGCTCATTTTGCAGGGCCCCAACTAAGAAATCCTGACATCAGTAACCTCTGCCACAATCACCACTGCTGCAGGTTGTGGTCCTCACCTCGCCTCCTCATTGCCCTGCACAGCTGCTCAGGGCTTTGCAATCTTCTGCTCATGGCGGTGGTTTTCAGATCACTGAGGACTTTTCCCACCACCTTTCTCTTTCGTACTATAAAGAGGGATTTAGACCATCTGGGCTTTGTCTTCCTTCCTGAGTGGAGCAGGCTCTGTTCAAGGCCACTGGTGGAAACCCTCAGCTCTCTCTGCAGCACTTATCTCCCTGCCTTGCGGAGATGTGCCTTTTCACATGGCAAGATTAGGAGATGGAAGGACCATGGGAGAAGCAGTATCGCTATTAGACCTGCTGGGGTAACTGATTAAAGGGCTCCACGCTCCTGGCTCTGGGACTCTGAAACCCTGGCTGCTTCCTGCAGCCCCGTTGGCCATGTTAGCAGAGGTTGTTCTTCCACTGCAGCCACTTCCCAGGAAGCCCTTTGAAAAGTCCCCCCTATTCCTTAAAAACCACAAGCAAAACTACTCTGTGAGTTTTTGCTTCCCTTTGGGTCTCCTTTTGGGATGGTCTCGTGTCACTGCACAGGCTCCAGCACTTCCCTTTCTGAGCGGCTCCATCATATTTTCCCTTCGTTGTTCCTCCAGCATCCCTCCAACAGGGAGCCCAAAGCCTGTGCCTCAGTTTCCCATGTCAAGTCTTGATGGGAAAGATGGGGAAATGAATTCCAAGGCTGAGCTTGACCAACAATAGAGATAAAAGGAGAAGAAAAGGGTCTGAAAGGAGGTGAGGGGCTTTCACTTTGGATGTGGGCTGCCCTTGGCCTCTGGTTCCTGTTGTCCCATGACTGGTGACTTGGTGCGGTTATGCAGCAGCGGGTGCTGGATGAGGTGAGTGGGAGCTCTGAGTCACAGCGGGTGCTGGCTCAGCAGCGGCTTCCTGGGAATCTGGGGGTGCTGTGGGGATACCCAGAGGCTGCTCCATGCCTGGTCCCCAGCCGGGGATGGAGAAGAGGTGCGGGTCTCCATCATGAGCACCAGTGAATGGTCCTCAGGCACCCCAAAGGGAGTCACCCACGGGGATCTCCACCCTGGCAGCCCGGGGGCCGGGGACCCCCCCACCACCACCGGGGCGGCTGCAGTGCGGCCGGTGCCCGGGAGAGGGCGGATGGAGCCCAGCGGCGGCGGCAGCTCCAGGCTCGACGGAGCTGCGGGGAGCAGCCAGCCCCGGGAGCACCCCCTCCATCAGCACCCTGTTCATCAGGACCCAATCCGTCATCACCCAACCCACCAATTCCCAGCGGTCTGAATGGATGCAGGCTGAGATTTTGGGTCTTTGCATGGCCAATCCAGGGGCACAGCACCGGGGGGGGGGGGAGTCGGGTTCTGTTTCAGTCTTTCCCTCGTTGGAAGGAGATGGATTGGGAATGGATGGGGTAAATGACTGGGGTGTATTTTAAACCACCAGGAAAGATGGAGCCCATTGGTGGTGTCACACAGATGCCCGTTCACAAATTCAGATTCCCATAACCAAGCACTTCTAAATGTCACCCCCAGACACGGTGGGGGAACATCTCACTGGGGGGTGGCAGATATCACCTGCATCCAATCACATCCCACCCTGGGAAATGCAGATGTGCCTCTTCCAAAGCACTCCACGCACCCTGAGACCGAAGCAGGCCGGAGGGCTGGAGCTGAAGGGGGAAGTGGGAAGGATGTTTGGAAGCTGAAGCTTTTAGAGGAGAAGCAAGCAGCAGTGGTTAAAGCGGAGCCCGGTGCCGAGCGGAAGGGAAGCAGCAGCGTGTGTGTGTGTGTGTGTGTGTACAAAGGCATCTGCGCAGCTCTGCATAAACAGCAAAAGCAGAAGTCGGTGGCAGTGAATTAGCAGTTGGGGACTGTGGAAAATCCATACAGGAAGCAAAACAGAAGAGAAATCTCAGGCCACGGGGACTGAGGACGCTGAGAGGGCGCTTTTGAAATAGATGAAGCTCATCGAGTGTGCGATAGCTGCGGGCTGGGACGGCCGCCCCGTGGGAAGGAGGGCAGGCACCGGGCTCCCCCGACCGCTCATCCGTGCTCAGGAAAAGAGCCAGAAGGTGCAATTATGCATAAAGGAACAGCAGGAGGAATTCAAAACCGGCTTTTAAGGTAAAATTTTATCATTTCAGCCACTCTCAGCTGTGTGGTTTGGGGAGGGCTGGTTGGATGCAGAGCCGCCTGGATGCCCAAGGAGCGTGTGAGGTTATAGCCGTGCAGGGAAGCTCAGATCTGGTCCAAGGGGTTTGTGCAGCTGGAGGAGGGCAGTGGGGTTGTGTCCACCCCAGCAGCAGCCCAGGGCCATGGTCTGGGCATGTCCAGTCCCAGGGAACAGCGCCAGGTCCTCTTTCAGTCTCCTCATTGGAAGGAGATGGATTGGGAATGGATAGGGTGAGCGACTGGAGTGTATTTTAAAGCATCAAAGCCCGTTGGTGGTGGCACACAGGTGCCCATTCACACGCAGCTCAGAGTGCCTCAGCCCGCTCTCCAAGGGCAAAATCCTGCAGCTTCCACCCTCCCAACACCCACAGATAGATCTGTGGTGGCTGTAAAATCCCAGCTGCCACTTCCCTGGGGTTTTCCAGCTTGGTGTGTTCTGGGTGAGCGCCAGCCCTGGGCAGGGCTGCTCAGGGTACTTTCCATGGGGTCTGAAGGCAAGGAGAGCCCTCCATCCCTAGTGCTGCTGAGGATGAGGGCCCAGAGGAGCTCTTGGGACAACCGTTGACACGGATGGGAGATGTCAGTGAGCCAGATATGATGGCACAGAGCAGAAGCCAGCCCTTTCCTGGGAAAAGGTGCGGTGCAAGTTTATTATCCCCTGATTTCCCATGGCTCGCAGGATGAGCTGCTGCAGCTCTGCTCCCATGGGGTGGGATGACAGCAGCAGGATGACCGGGCCTGGTTTGTGTACACACACACACACACAGAGTTCCCAGCCCTGCTTGGGGCCGGAGGGACACTGAGACTGCTCTGTCCCTCGCCCACAGCGCAGGACAGCCACAGGCGCTGTGGCCTGACCCGCTCCCACGGGGTGCAGGCAGAGCCCCGCGGTGCCTTTCACTGCAAGATGATTTCCTCAGCTGAAAGGCAGGGGAGAACGATGAGAAATGGGGTTTGAGGCAGCGTCTCGCCCACTGCTGCCACCGCAGAGGTCCCTTGGGACCCAGCCTGTGGAGCCGTGGGAGGGCACGGCCGGGCAGGAACAGGAAAGGGGGTGTTTTCCTGCACATCCCTCCCAGGCTCCCAAACGACCCCCGGGATCAGGCTGGGGCCGGGCGGACGGGACTGTGATGACCGAACCCCCGCAAACCCACAGAGGGGAAAAAAAGTAATATAAAGTAATAAAAACTTTAAAAAAAAAACCCAAATCCAACAAACCAAACCCAAAGCAACCTCCACGAGCGCAGCCGGGCTGTTTATGCCGCTGCCTCCGCGGGCGCGGATGCGATAAGTTAAAGGCACCGGCTGGGAGGGGCGGAGCGGTGCGCACCCGCGGAGCTGCCGGCGGGACCCGGACGGACAGCGCGGCCCCTCCGCTCCGCCCCGCACAGCCCCCGCCCTCGGCCGCACCGCTCCGCTTTACATAACGCGCCCGGGGCCGGGGTCCGCGTCCCGCGGCTCCGCTCGGCGGAAATGCGGAGCCGCCTGCCCCGGTTTCCTGCCTGAGCCGTCCCGTCCCGAGCTGTCCGTCCCGTCCCGTCCCGTCCCGTCCGCCCGGTCCCGGCCCCGGGCGCTCCGCCGCGCTCCACCATGGGTGACCGGCAGCCGGACGCCTTCTCCTGCAGGTAACCGCGGGCGCGCAGCGGGACCGGGCCGGGCCGGGCTGG